ATTTGCTCTGTCCCTTCAGTGTCCATATTAGAGAGGTTTGACTGTAATTTCAATATTTTCTGTGATAAAGCAACTATAGTTTAGGAACAAACCTGCCCAGTTGTTGTAACACTTGTGGTGAAATTCTGCAAACTGACTGTGAGTCCGGCACTCTCAAACTTCTCCTTGACATACTGTGTTGCATTTTCCAAGTTCTGCCTAGCATCAGCTTTATAGTGATTCCGATTGCTCGCAAACTTTCGTAAATAAGTTTTATATTTCGCTTTATCTACTGTGGGAAGTCTGTCAACTGCTGAAACTGGCATCGTTTACAAGTTAGACATTTTAAATACTGTTACAACAAAAAGAAAAATGTTAAGCTTTCTATGATATAGAGGGCACATGTAAAGAAAATGGAAGGGAACAAAATCCGTTATTATCAAAAATCTGTACACTGAATTTTACCTGAACAAAATAACTTTATTACGCTTTATTAATGGCTTTTATTGGAACAGTGCCCTCATCTACATACAGGACATTCAAATTCATAAATTAAGCTTTCTACATTGCTTATTCAACATCAAAATTGAACATTCTGTACTCTCCGAGGCAGAAGCTCAACGAACTTTACGACGTAATTAGTGTTGTGTACTCTAAGCACAGACACGCGTGAAATTAAAATGTGATAAATAAGGCTAAAAATCAGCAAATTTCATTTCGTGCGCGGGATGTAGGTCCCATAGCGACCACACAATTGTAATTAATACGCTTGCCCTATCGTTTTCAAATGCTACAAGACTTATCCAGTTTTGAGCACATAAACATACACGACCACATACCGGGTGTACGCTCTATATAGAATTTGCTTACACCATCGATAAAGGTTTTTTCGTTTGTCATATTTTTAAAACGTCGTTCAAAACACAAGCAACTGGAAGCACAATCGAACCATAAGCTTAAATATAGCCGTCCTGCACCGTCGATATTTTGTCGCGTATCGGCAGGTATCAATTTGGAGCTATTTTCGAGTAACCTGCACGTTCTGCTGAGTTTCTTAGGGTAAAGGTCAACATTAAATTTACTTCAGTGCTATTAAAAGCCACACTAAGATACCAAAAGCTTACCTGCTAAAATATCGAAGAAGGCGATTGTAAGCAGAAAGAAGCTCGACTTCCAAATTCTGTCCATGTTGGATGGTTCCACCGCTCTCGAGCCAACAAAAGTTTCGAGCAATGTGCTGAATAAGCTTAACTTGATCAAATTTTCAACGTAATAAAAAGGGCAAGCTACTGCTTTGTCGGCAAAGTAAACTGAAAGATGGATGAGGAGATATATCTATATGCCCAACTAACTTGGCGACCCTTATGTTACAACAGGTTAGAGGCCTTCAGGGGTCTGGCACGAGCGATGAGTGTTCGGCGTCGGGACAACCGCACAACCAGTACTGGGGGATCCAAGTCTTGGATCCCCCAGTACTGGTTGTGCGGTTGTCCAAAAGCGCTTTCCATTCAGCCAAAAGTTTCGAGATTCTTAAGGCGGGGGTCTACCTGAAATTTGGTGGAAAAATGGAAAAAAATTTTTCGTTGGAATACACATCTTTTACTATTTACCTTTCCATTGACAAATGAATTTTTTGACTATTTTTAATAATTTAACGTCAGCGAGGCACTTTATTGGACGAGGTGATCTATAAAAATCGCGTTGCCATGGCAACGGGAATGATAACTTTTGTTTTTCTCTTGTTTACTACCTCTTGAATCCCCAGGAAAGCGCGAAAATCGAACCACTGTCAAATAGGGCATTCTCTGTTACCTCTTACATGAAGTGGGGTATTGCCAATTGCATTATGGTATAGAATTTTAGCTGTGG